AAAGGTAAATCATGAAAATTAACAAGGCTGCCCAAACTTTTTCATATGTCTGTATCGTGATGTCTTGCAGTTTATCGTCAGCATAACCATATTGTGAACTGTGTGTCCAAGTTCCTGACAACATGCAGTCCTTTTTAATGCCTCTTTTATTTCTGTGCTAAATTATAAATGTATATATAGATTAGGGCTGCAACGATTAATCGATCATTAAAATAATCGTTAGTTGCAGCCCTAATATAGATTGGATGAGACTTTTGGTAAAGTCTTAACATATAAGCTTCCTTTTAAGATTTMTTTTGGCAAAAGAAGAATAGACAGATGCAAACAGCTTATTTTTGTGTTATTTCTGGTAGCAACATTTGAAGTTTTTTTTTTTTTTTAATCTGTAGCTCTAATAGAGCTGAAGCTGCCCCTAAAAACACATGACAACTTGAACTTCTTCAGTGTTTCAGTTTCTGGTAAAGCGGTTAGATGTAGATAAATTAAACTCATAAATCAGCAGTTATAGCTGTCTTACACTCAGCAGAAAGTGATGTATAACTCACCGGCATCATGTTGGCGGGTCTCCCTCCTGTCGCATCCAGACTGCCGATGAACCAGCCTCCTCCTCCTCCTGCTCCTGCTCCTCCTCCTCCTGCTCCTGCTCCGCTCACACTGCTTCACAATTACAATATTCTCCTCATCTTCCACCTGTTGCAGCGAGTCGGCGGGCCTCTTTCATCCCTCTCCTCTCCAGAAATAAAAGCAGTAACCCGGGACTGAACCGTGGTACCAGAACCTGCCGTGGAGCGTCGAGGAGAGGAGAGGAAACAAAGCAGGGCTGTGGAGCTGAAGATAATCCCTGCCGAGCTCCARTCCTGCTCAACATCCGCAACGAGCCACGATCAGCGCGCGTGCGGGACTGGCATCAGTCAGCGGACAGCTGGCACTAGCATGAGCGTCCGGCCCGGCAGGATCCAGGTTCCTGTTCGTTGCTTTCAAAATAAAAGTATGGGAAGAAATGTCCTGATGCATCTCAGTAATCCAGGTAGAAAAAAATCAAAAAGAAAAAACCAGTAGTTCCTCTGGATGAGTTCTTCTTTAGTGAAACGTTTCATCTCTCCTCCAACAGACTTCTTCAGTCTGATGAGTTTCAGGTGAACTCAGCCTTATAAGCTCCGCCTCCACCTGGA